CCGCGCCGCCGCGCAGCATTCACCGGGGGGAGAGGCGGGGGAACGTGCGGGTGGGGCAGAGAAGGAAGGGCGGCCCCATCTCCGCCCCCCTTCCCTCCCTTTATCCCAGTGGGGCCCAGACCCGCGCAACCAGGCGGGGAGGGGAGGTGGGCTCGCGATTGGGTTGCGATCTGGAGCGGTGGGGACAGGTCAGGTAATTCTGCCGGCCGTCAGGGATGGGAGAGTGGGGAGGACGGGACCAGCCTAGCTCAGAATGGGTGTTTCTTGAGGCCTCTGGGGCTGTTTTCTTTCCAGGAACCGGCGCGTATTTCTGCAGTGAGACCCTAGGACGGACATCGGCGCCTTCAGCTTCCATGGAGTTGCGATTTTGCTCCTTCCAGGGAAACAGTGGCAGGGTGTTTGCTGCTTGTCGGTTCCTGCGGATATCCTAGGACATTCCACTGGAGGCTTGGACTGCATTTAGGAGCCCCTATCCCTTCCCTGTCTACACCGTTAGTGAGCAATTTCATATGTTTGCATTTAGACCCATAGACTCAGAACGACTCATCACACACACAAACATCGTGTACACTGACACACTCACTCGCATTCACACACTTAGGTATACAGCCTGTTCCTTGCTCTGACCCTGTAACAACGCTTCCTCCTCCAGAGACTTTGAGATAGAGTGAGTGATCCGTGTGCACCATTCATCCATGCTCCCACCTTGCCAGTGTGGCTGGCTTGTTCTGGAAGGGGCTTAAGAGGAACAAGCCCCAGCTGTGCTTCTGGCTGTGACTCAAGCCCCCCTTCTGGGCTCTAACGCCTCCAGCTTCTTTGTGGACCGGACCTGACTCTCCAGGAACCTGGGAATCCACTGTTTCACTCTATTTTGGGACAAGGAAAAGGGGCTCTTTGGGGCCGCTTCCTGCCTTCCCCTCAAGTAGGATCTCCAGCCTGCAGAGGGTGCCTAGTCCTTCTTTGCCCAAGAACCAGCCCAAGAAGCCTTTCCTCTGTGCCTGGGAAATGCAACCTTTTATTGTTAGCATGGCAGGGTGTTGGTGCTGAAGAACCAAGCAGCGACCCCTCTTGCAGCTGCCATGTTTTGACGAGGGGCTCTGGGGGTCCTGCTGCTTTAGGGTCACATACTTCCACTTCCTGATTCACTACTGTGAGCTGGTGAGATGCCTAGAAGAGGAACAAGCGTTCAAAGTGAAAGTGGGCACATTACCGGAATAGTGCTGGGGAGAGTGCTGGATTCTTTTCCACCCTAGGCTGACTGGTGAGAAGCCAGGCTTGGACCTGTCCTCTGCTCCTAGCTTGCACATTCAGCCCTAAACTCAGAGCAGCATGCATACCACCACCCCCCAACACACACACCCCACCATCTGCTCTCTAAGGCCCCTGGGCTTCCTGCAGGGTCCAGACCAATGTGGCTGGGCTTGGGCTTTTATCTGTCCTGATCCTGGGTTTGTCCTGACCAATGTAAGTGTCGCCCAATAAAATCTTCTATGACCACCACACCAGCCACCCCCCACCCTTCCAAGTTTGCCCTTTCCTTCTTGACTTTTTAGCAGTTCTGGGTAAATATTGATTTGCCCCCAGTTTACTTTCTCCCTGACTGGTCATTTGCAGACTCAGGAACTAGCTTCTGTAGGGACCTGACTTTTCTGTTCCTTTCTGGCCCTTTCACCACCCCCCTTCCTCCCTCCAAGTGGCATTGTAAAACTCACAGTGACAAAGAGACAGAGTAGGGTTCGAGGCCCCTGTTCCTGGGGACTTGAAGGCGGTTTTACATACGGGTCAGACACGGCTGGAGGCCAAGGTCAAGTTGAAAGTTGCAGTCTAGCCAGCATGAGAACTGCCATGCAAGCGTGGAGACCCAGGCAGCAGCAAAAGGCCCACTGCCCGCATGCCCTCATGCTTAATTTTCTCTCTCTTTTTAAAGTTCTCGGCTCTGACTCAGTTCGGCTGCCCAGAATTTTTTGGTGCCTTCGTGGGGTTTTTGGGGCGGTGTTTACCGACTCTTCTCTGCCTCCGCCCTACTCAGCCAGGGCTTTGAGCGTCTTCAGTTTTCCAGCCAGACCCGGAAAAACGAAAACACAGCTTGGGGAGCCCCCACTAGCCTGCGCCTGTGCCAGCTCACCTCTGGCCATGGCGCAGCTGCCGGTGCACACCGCGGCCAAGGCCGGCTCCACATTCTTCCCTCCCCCGTCCACTTCACCGGAGCCCCGAACCCTGCGCACAGAGAAAGGGCCTCAGCTCCACAGACGACTGGGTCCCTCCTCACCAAAATTGATGAGACAAGATTTCATCTTGTCGGCCGAGGAGCCACAAGCAGGTTTGTCTGGAAGGGATGGTACCGGGGGAAGGCTTTGGATTGCATCTCAAATTAAGCTTTGCTCCTTAAATGTGGTTCTCTTGCCAAGAAAGAGCTTGGGGCCTGAATTATTGAGATTTATGGTGCACCTTTAGTGATCAAATTTATCTGGGCTTTTTTTAGTTCCCCCATGTTAAAACAATAACAACAACAATCACAAAAACAAAACAAAAAAAAACCTTCTCAAAACATACTTACTTAGAAGAACGCACCCTGCTTGTTCGCTTCTTGTCTTGGATCTCAATATATATTTTTATTTTTCTACCAGACAGGTCCATGGCGTCCTGGCATGCCCCCACTGTTTTCAAATGTCTACATGTCCTGTCAGTATTGAGTTGTAGCCACCAATCAGTGGAGGTGGTTTATAGAAGAAGAACAAGCTCTGAATAATTTTGGGTCTGAGTCTCAGAATTTCTACTCGCTTTTAAGGAAGAATAATCTTCCTTCCCTGTCTTCTGCTGAGAGAGATAAGACATTTCTTAATGGTTCCCAATATAATTTCTTTCCCTGCCAGGCAGCCAACAAATTGACTTGCTGTGGCAAAAGAAAGGTTGGAGGACAATTAAGGCGACTGTGCTCTGGGAAGCAAGCACAGACCCTCCTAGCATTTTTCCTCTTTTCCCAACGGCAAGGTCAAGATTTGCTTGCCTGCCGAAGTAATGGATCCTGACCTTCTGAGCTGTCTGTCCCTCTGATTTTTTGTTCTCCAGGCTCAGGAATTCCTATAGGATTGCATAGAGGCACCATTAACCTGACAATTTTATATTCTCAGACTCCTCATGGGTTAGACTGGGGAAGCCAGGGCACCCACTAGGATCGGCCGGCCGCGGTGGCACCTTAGGCATGACAGCCAAGCAGAGTGCTGCATGAGTAGAGGTGGGAGAGGTGGGAGAGGCTGCAGTCATTTCCCAGGTACTGCGTGGTGCACCGATTTCCCCAGAGGAGCCCTGAGAGGGCAGCGCAGGAAGGACTGGAGGGTAGTTTCTGCAGCAGGGCCTTTGTTTAAAGGAATTACCAGAGCATTTCTCAGTGTTCCAAAATGCCTTGGCTGACAAGGCTTCTTACCTCCTGGGATAGACCAGGGTGCCCTGCAGGGTTTGGTTGCCCAAAAGCTTCTCACTGAAGAAAAAGACTATGGCTCGGTTTTTCTGGTTGGGGGACTGGATGCCAGCCTGGTCCATGGGGCTCTGGGCTCCCAGCGTTGGAGGAGAAAAGGACAAAGGGAAACCAGGTTTTAATCGAGTTTGATTTTCATTAGCAAATGAAATTTACCTGCTCTCACTTTAACTCCGAGGAGGCTGTCAGTGCTGCTCCCTGGCACCATTTCTTTGCATTCATCCAGCATTAGGATAAACATTCCTTGGTTGGTTCTAAAGACACTTTGTATTTCAGGATATTCATGTGCTTTTAATGTATCCAAGCAGCTTTACAAGCCACTTTTGCAGAACATCTTAACCCACTCTCACCCACCCTAGGTGGGCTGGGGCACAGAGATAATGTCAAAGGAAGAAAGATCCAGAGGAAAAACTGGTTGAGGGGCTGAGGAGAGAGAAAGAGAAAAGACAAAATCGTCAAACAGTGTAGCACCTCTGAAGCCAAACTTGAGCAGATCATTTGGGAAAGGAGCAAGTGGGGGACCGCTCTGCTTACGGAGGGAATTTTGAGTGTCCCCATCAGGTGGAAGCTGTACCCTCTTTCTTAAGGTGAAAGGGTTGGTAGGTCCTGAGATCTGGGTTGAAGTTAGCCAGTGGACAGGGAAATGGCGCATTGAGTCACTCACTCAAGCTTTTGTTCTAGATTTTTGTGCATTTGAAACAATAATAAGGCAGTAAAAGGCTTGAGGCTGGGGGGATAGTTTTGGGCTACGGTCACTGTGGTGACCAAATGTTAACATGGTGAAAGTGGAAGTGCAAGGTCCAGGAAGATCCACAGGGACCCCCAGTTTGCCTTTAAGATCCCTTCATGGGGTGGATCTCAAGGACAGCAGATTTTTGGAGGAGCAGCTCTCCTGCTGCCTGTAGAGTTCTTTTTTTTTTTTCCCCCCCCCCAGGTACCACAAAGCCACTAGTGCACAGGGCCTCAGAAAATACGGCAGGAGCTCAAGGAAAACTCCAATTTGAGTACAGCCCTGCCCTGTTTCCCCCAGAGAGTCTCTGAGCAAGGAGATCTCCACCCGACACACACCATTTCAGAACAACCAGGTTCCAGACTCCCATGAGCAGCATCCTCCATTGCAAAGCCTTGGCCAGCCGCGCCTGGACTCCCCAGAGTTGGCGCAAACTCCGGCCTCCAAAACTCGGCTCTGGGAGGCCTAGGTGACTCCGAAGCCGGCGGCGGCCGCGGCCGCGGCAGCGGCGGCGGTGGTGGAAGAGCTCTTTCCTCCGACAGTGCCTCTGATCGCTCTTCACTAGAGCTGGAGACAGCCTTCGCGTAAAGGACCGGAGCGTGAGTTAGAAGCAGAGGGAGCTTGGAGAAGGGCTCGGCCGGAAGGAGGAAATGCCTTCTCGCAGTGCGCGGCCAGCCCGCGGGGGACACCGGCTTGCTGGACTGTGGGGCCCCTGCCACCCAGGGAGTGACCTGCGGGTCACTCAGCTGGGGCGCTGGGCGAGCGCGGGACGGCCCGGAGAATTCCGTCCGGCTGCGACGTGAAGAGGACGGGGGTCTCTGTACCCGACTCTGCCACTGGCCCAAAGGAATTTTACCCTCGGGCGCCCACCCCCACCCTAGCTTGATGCTTACACCCGCAACAAAACAGGAAACCAGGACTGGGCAGTTCATTCTTTAAGTCAACAAATACACTGAAGACTTCGAGCGTTTGAAAGAAGTAGGGGGTTTGCACGAAAGCCGGGCTCGGCTTTCTCGCTGAGAAAGCAGCGCAGGCAGCCAGGCGGCCTGGGCCCGCGGGGGTCCATCTCGCCCTAGACTCCTAAGAACTCCCACGGCCCTGTTCCCAGCTGCGAATTCTTAATGCACAACGCGACAGAGGGAAGGAAATTCACCAGCGCAGCGACGAGGAAGGGGAACTCAGGACCCCTTCAAGTACACACTGAGGTGTGATCAGAGTTTTATGGGCACGTTATATACTGTAATTATAACGATGTGTGTGCCTCGATATGCACGCACATTCACGCGTCAAACGTGCGTATACACACAGAGTGAATGTGCGCATCCAATGTCATGTGGGTGAAATACAGGCATCATAACCAGTCCTACGAAAAAAAATTCACCCTGTCGGACCAGCCTGGTGACATACTTCGCTGGCTCATCTCCTAACTCACTTTTCCGACCACTCACCATTCCCTCTCCTGTGGCTTTGTAAATACACCTGTCCCCCGTGGAAGGTGAGTCCTGGACTGGCGTTGCCCGGTTCACATGTCCTCCCCAGAACCTCCATCTGGCTCCAAGGACCCTAGCTGAGCGGGTTTAGAGCACCCGGCACTGTTCAAGGAGGAGCCGCTGTTCCTTTGTCCCGTGGCTCCAGCCCCGTTCCGCCCAGCTCTCAGGGAAACGAAGCGCTCAGTACGAACTTATGATATTAGTTTTTATGGGTATTTACACTCTGGTGAGGGGAGCTGACTACGGAAGCTCCATCAATCAGCCCCCAACCTTGGGTTTAGATATTCAGTTTATGGGTTGGGAGAGGGAGTTTACCGGAAAGAAAGCATCAGGGTTGGCCGCTGACTCCAGAGAAGTGAAAAGGGAGTAAGGTCGTTTTCTGTTTCTGGAAATCAAGAATTAGGAATGGGCAACTACAGGTGCTAACCAACAGACCACTTTTTTGTTTTTTGGTAGCCCTTTGGCAGGGATAGTTTTTCCACCTTTGCCCCACATAGTTGTTTTTTTTTTTTTTTTTTAAATCCTTTTATTATGGACTTTGTCAAACACACACACAAGCATAACAAACCCCTATGTACCCAGCTCCTAGTTTTGACCGCTATTATAATTTCATCTTCAAATGTTTTATTATCCACTTCCTCTCTCTCTCTCTTTAGTATTTTGAAGTAAATCCCAGATAGTGTCACATCATTTCACCCCCACCATAGGATTTCGAAGATCTGTTATATTTCAAGATTGAGCAAAAGGACTTGAAATGGGGTTATTGCAATGAAACTCTAGAAAAAACCTGAGGGTTCACCCAGGAGTAAGCTGGACAAAAGAGGGGTTTGAGAGGTAGACCCATCTTGCCTAAAAATCTTGTCTCATCTTTCTAAAAATTACATATGAAAGAGGAAGATTTATGTTACCTTTTTATATGAGTGAATCGTCCTTTAATAGAAAATTTCTGTTGCTGTGTCAGAATTATGGGGGAACACAAAAAACATACCTCAGTCCTTAGTGTGTCCTAAATTGACATATATTCACTTATTAGTGGATAAATGACTATATTCCATTTCAGCACAACTCCTCCCCTGGTAGAAACTCAAAAGAAATTTCTAATGATTAAACTAGGAAAGTTTGCACTGAATTGATGGCTCATCAGAACAACTGCAGTTTTCAGAAAGAAATTCAATGCCGAGCATTGAAAATATCCCCCTAGCAATAAGGGATTTTTAAAGAAAAGAATGAATAAAGGTGTTATGGTTTCTTTTGTTTTAATCTGGTAGTCTAATTTACAATGAGCATGATTCTCCCCATCGAACTCTGAAAGTGACTTAACTGAAAGCCTTGGCGACTTCAGAAAGCAAAACGGTAAAAACAGAAAATAGCACACTGTTGAATTTGACAACTTTTACACTACCCGGCTGCTTAATAAATTCTGACCCCACTTGTCTGAGTTGATACTGATCATCTTTTCTATGGCAGTATTTTGTATTTGGGTTGTTTATGGTTTCTTAATTAATTTTTTTGAGTAGTGATTAAATATCTGGGATGCTTTTACACTAAGCATATAAATTCTCATATAAATTCTACATTAAGCGTATAAATTAGAAAAGAGCTATTTGATGAAACTCATAAGAGGTATGTAAATTTAAAAAGAGAAGAAAGTGTGTGTACATATTTTACAATAATCTCGAATGACTCCAACTTTATGTTGCAGAAGCCATGAGCTCTCTGCCCACTGTCTGTGGGGTATCAGCAATATCGACTCCTACCAAGCCTTGGGCACAGTGGTGGGTTTATGGATCCTATGTCTCTTGATCCTAAGATGGAGTTCACCACAGGGGTGAGGGCTTGGGTCAGGGTAAGGGTGGGGACTGTAGAAGTCAAACAATTCGGAGGAAGAGGGAGAGGGGAAGAGAGAAGTCACAGACAAGCCAGGAGACAAAGAGGAAGGGAGAGATGGGAGGGAGAAGAATAAGAAGCAATGAAACTGTAATTCTCCACAAATATTTAAGCTACAGCAGCTCAAAGATGGCCTGTTTTTAAAGCTTAGCAGAAGCCCATTCTCTGCTGAAGCCTGTTCTTTGCGGAAGCCTGGCTGGGGGGTAGTGGGGGTGGTGCCGCTGTTGAGTCTTCCTTGCCTTTTAGGTCCCAAGCCTCCCTGTGATTTCTGTAACTGCTCAAAAACAACCTGGGCTTTGAGAATCTGATTATTGTCCGGAGTTAAATGCAGGCTCGACCTTCTCCCCATAGAGAGTCCAAACACGTGAATTCCTGCTGCTATCAGCTTCAGAGGCAGAGGTCGAGAGCTGAGCTTGGGACAACCCTTCAAGCCTGCTAGCAATTACCTGCTCTCAGCCACTTTTTAAAAGGCCATATTTCTTTACATTTCTAGGATCTAATGTGAGGTTATGTCAGGTCATGGGACCCTAGGCTGGTGCAAAGTAATTTGATGTCACCAAGAGCAAGCAGACTCGTTTGTCACCCTGAGGAATAGAAGTCCGCGTAATTTCTGCTGGGAGCAGAGCAGAGTTGATTGGCTGGGGGTGTGGAATCCAGCCAGGGGTCCAGTGTGGGCCTAACCAGGTGAGCTGGGAGGGGACTTTCTGGATCGTGGTGTGTGTGTGTGTGTGTGTGTGTGTGTGTGTCTGTTTGTCTGTCTGTCTGTCTCAGGTTGAGAGGATTAAGGGATCAGCTGTGCTCCAAGCACACACAGCAGCCCATTAGAACTCAGTGTGGAACCTGGACTGATACAGGCGCTTGGATCCCAGGTTCACTTGTGATATGATCCAGGTCTCAGTTTTTCTGAAGTTAAGTCTGGTTAGCCCAGCTGCAGTCCTTTCTTCCCCTAACCCTTACCCACTGCTACTTTAATAGTCTGTAGCTGATTAAATAAAACATAAGGGAGTCTTCCTACCTGAGGTTTATCCAGTCAGTAGGTGATTGGTGGGAGCACAGAAGGAGTCATAGCCTTTGTACTCCTTTGGGGAAACACTTCTGTGAGTGACAAGAGATGGCTAATGTCTCAGTGAAGGGTTTCAAGGCATTTGCTAGAATATCCTCTTCCACCATTTCCAGTTCTTCCATTTTTTCAGGGGGGGTTGTAGGTGGTCGTGTAACAAAGCCAAAGAACAGGGTCCCTTGAGCCTTCATTTGAGAATCAGGGAGAGTGCAAATCCTGGAGGAGTATAGGTAGGCAACTTGATGGGTAAAATGAAAAAGGAAGAAGCTGCTTCCCAGAGGCTGGGCCGATCGATGCTAGTCCCAGGGACTTGAGCATGACAGGGTGGGGGTCCTTCTACAGAAGGCCTGGAAAGTCTATCAGTGGAGCTGCCTGTGGGGGCTCCACAATGTCCTGGGATTAATACATTGAAATGTGGAACATGGTTCCTTGGCCTTCTGTATCATTCCCAAAAGGAATATACTGGTGCCACTCTCCTGACAATTTTAGGATGATCTAATGCCACAACTAACAGACTGAGACAGCCTGGGCAACATGGTGAAATCCAGTCTCTTAAAAAAAACACACACAAAAATTAGCCAGGTGTGGTAGCATGTGCCTGTGGTACCAGCTATGGGAAGGCTGAGGTGGGAGGATCGCTTGATCCCCAGCAAGTCGAGGCTGAAGTGAGCCGTGATAGTACCACTGTGCTCCAGCCTGGGCAAAAGAGTGGGGCCCTGTCTAAAAAAAAAAAAAAAAAAAAAAAAGACAGAGAGAAGAACTCAGACTCAGACTCAGACTCAGTCACAGTGGTCAGCAAAGAGGCATGTCCCTACAAGGGGGGACCCCATTTGAAGCAGGTGAAGGCATCCAATAGAGAACCTGCAGTGAGCATCTCCGAGGCACATGGGGAGGCCTGCACAGACTTCTCCATCTTTTGGCCATAAGGTTCGCAGGTGCTGGCGGGGCCAGAGGAGCTCAGATAAGAGCCAGCTCTCTATATGTGGCGCTCATTTCCATGGGGTAGTGAGAGAGGCCAATCCTTCACAGAAATTAGAATCTGGATGCAAGAAGGCAGCCAGGATCAGGTCTGGCCGGATGGCCCCACGGCAGAGATGGGGAAAATGTCACCTTTGAATCCTAAGAAGCTAGGCTCCTGTGCTCTGCCAAAGGCCCTGTGGGCAGCAGTCTGTAGTTCCAGAGGTTTTGCATGCGGGCCTCTGGCCTCACTTAACTTCTGCAGCAATCTGCTGGTCCCCAGAGCCACTCAGTACCCTTGAGGAGAACCTACATATGGGCGCTCCAGGGATCTGCCGGCCTTAGGATCAGGAGCTCCAGAAAGGGTTAGATGGGAATTCAGAGATCCTGGGCCGGGTGCTTTCGGTGGACAGCTAGATCTTTCTTTCAAGGTGGAAATTGCGCTCTGCCCTGGGTGGGAGCCCAGCCCCAGCTCTGCAATCATGCAGGCAATAGAGTAAGCACTCCACTGTCGACGGGGAGGCCAAGGAGAGAGAGGCTTCTCTTTGAGGCCTCCGACCCCCATCCAATCCAGGAGGTTGCAGTCGCTGTGGGCGGCGGCGGAGGATGCTCGCAGGACACCGCTGTAGTTGCGACCTCTTCCCGCTAGATGTCTTCCCAGTTATAATCGGAATTGAAGGACGCTGTCTCTGCTCCTCGGGCCGAGACTCGGTTTCCCCTGCTCCTTTTTGAAGTCTGGCGTTCCTCTGTGAAAGCTGACTTTTCCCTTTTTTTCCTATACTCCCCTTCCCGCCCTGCGCTCTAAATCCTGGCTCTGGAAATCCACCCGAATCAAATGCTGGCTCCCTGCGGGCCCGCGTCGGAGCCGCTCACGCCATTGGAATCTTTTTATGACCTTTGATGTGTTTAAATAACATGGCAAGTCTGAGCACACACCTCGGATTAAACTTTAATCGGCTGCAGTCAAGGTCGCCCAGGTGGTAAACGCGTTTCCTCCGACGTCTCCTGGCAGACGCTGCGGGGTCCAAGGTCTGGGGAAAAGCCCTAGGCCCCTGCCATACCCTCCTGCCTCTGTCAGGCCTGGGTGGGGGCCAGGCCCAGGGCCACCCCATCGAGTTCCAAAGAGGACTAAGGAAATGGGATCGGAGGTAGACACCCAGGGTGGGCTAATGATCTGAGCACAGTTTTTATAGCTACTAGACAGAATAGTTAAAAATTCCAAGAAGCACTTTCAATTTCCCCTGACTCCAGAAAATGGTTGAGGGTCTACTCATGGTCAGTGCCTTACTGCCTCATCCCCATGGCTCTGCTCCCCTAGGGAGAAAGGGGGTGCTGGTAATGATGGTGTGGCCAAGTTAGCTGATTGTTTTTAAGGTCGCCAGACCCATAAACTGTAGGCCAGGATCTAGAACCCAGGCTAAAGCAGCCTTTCTGTGTGTCAGGCTAGACGAGGTTAGCTTCAGTTTTATCTGGGCTGAGTCACTGGGTCTGAGCATATCTTTCTGAGCCAGTATACCTGGCATGGAGAATTGTCATGGGCAGTGTTTAGGAAAAGCTCCAAGAATAGGGCAGCATGTATAGTGAGAGCTACCACTGTGCTTTTAAAAAAGAGAGGATGTACAAAAGAGCTAGAAGGACAGACAAGTCATCAGTAACAGTGGCCACCTCTGGGAAGAAGTGGTGTTCAGAGAATCTGAGTAGAGAATTTTTTTTTCTATAAAATTTTTTGTATTGTTTGTGAAGAGAACCAATTGCATCTATTAGCTATTGGGGTTATACTTTTCAGAAAACTGGGTACCCTATGTATCTCATGGCCAAATATTCCTTTGGGGAATTTCCTCCACACATTATACCAGACTTGGATTCAGGGGAGAACACTGAAATAAGTTACCCCAAGGCTTGAATCTTTGTCTTATGGACATCAACTCAGATTTCCATCCCCTGGGAGAGGTTCTCAGGCCTCTCTCTCTGGGCTTACCCCTAACTTGTAAATGAACATGCCAGCCAAAGACATAAAGCCCCAGCCATTCACAAAAGAGAACTCCGTTGTCTCAAAACGAATTAAAGCCTGATATTCAATTTCCCCCCAATCCCTGAGTGCCTAGGGGTTTGTAGAAAAGGCCCACAAATGACCCTCCAGACCAGAGATTCCCACAGTCCCTTGACATGTATATTTGGTTTGTCAATTCTTGTCTTGAAGACACTATCAAGTGTCTTCAAGGGCCACATACTAGACTGACCTATTGATCTCTTGACTTAGAGATAACACTATCACTGTCTAAAATTAGTTCTCAAAGTGCTTCTTCATGGCCTTCTGGGGGCTGTTAATACTCTTTATCTTGATCTTTGTAGTAGCTACACAAATGTATACATATATAAAATTCAGTGAACTGGGGGCTTAAGATTTGTATGCTTTGCTATACGTAAGTTATACGGTAATAAAAAATTTTTTAAGTGTTTCCTCCTAACAACCTGTGAAGTTGGTCCCGAGGTTATTATAATCATCTCCATTTTACAGATAAAGCAACTAAGACTCAAGGGAAGCTAGAGTCCCAGGCCTCTGTGGAAGAAAATAACCAGCCAAAAACTAACCAGCAGCTTCTTCCTCTGGGTCTTGCTGCTTCAATATCCAGCTTTCTTTTCCAGCAGATTTTTCAGGTGACAGGAGCCGGCTCAGTATAGAGACGCTCTTTTCAGAGAGATTGTGAGGTAGGAACATGTAGTCTGCGTCTTCTTCAAATTTTTTAGTCTTCGAGTAGGGAGAGAGTCAGGGAGGGCACGTGCCCAGAGGGTGTGGGGTCTAGAGGGCCCCACTTGTGTGCCTCTAATGAGGAAGAGAGCCCTCAGGGCTTGGAACATATTTTCTTCTCCTTATTCTAGTCCTCCAAGCCCACACGCATCCGAGGCTCAGGAGACCTCTCCAGGCGACCGAACCCTCCCGCTGAAGTCCCTCACTTCTGCCCCGTTTTTTCTCAAAAGCACCGTCGAGGTGGGGTGGGGGTGTTCTGAAATAACGGTGGCTGCAGTTAGATGGCTGAGGACACAGAAAGCGGTTGTTATTTATTCCAGGCACCGTCACAAAAGGCTTCCAAAAATATCGAGCCGAGATATTTTATTATCCAGCCTGTCTGCAGCCTGTAATTATGCGTTCAAGATGTTTAATGTGTGCAAATGCATTAGCCGCTTTCGCTGGTGAAAACCCTAGCTGGGGGCGGGGTAGAGGCAAGTCTGGAGATAATTATGTCGTACAGTCGCAAACATTATTCCATTCTTACTGTAAACGGCCCCGGCCACCTTTACGAGAAGCCAAGAAACAGAGTGACTTCGCAGCGTTTATGCGGGCAAACTGAGATCTTTTTGTTTCTCTCCCGGATTGTTCGAAGTGTCTATCAGGCGGCTTCGATGCCAGGTTCAAAGGCGCGCCAGGGAGAGGGCGCCCCGCAGAGGAGCGCAGCGGAAAGGCCCACGCAGGTCCCCGGTGCCCGCGGCCCTCGAAGGCCGGACCCTGCGTCTTGGCCAGGCACTGAGTGGCAGCTGAGACTGGTGGTCTGGAGCTCTCACGGCCGCGGGCAGGCCCCTTCTTGGGCAGGGTCGGGCATTCCAGCTGTCCAGGGCTCTTCGGCACCTTCCTTCCCATCGGGTCGCTCTTCCCTGCTCCCCAGACTCGACTCCTCCGAAGCTGCTCCGGGTTGAAATGTGACCGCTAGGCCGACGCCCTGGGCCCGCGAGCAGTTCTCGAAAGGTGCAGACTGAGCCCTTCCTGGGGTGGGGTGCGAGTTGGCTCTCGCAAGGCTGACCCAGGGTGAACTTGCTATTTCGGGTCCCGGGTGCTGCAGGGCCAGGAGAACAGCTGGGATGGGGGACCCCCGCCTCCACCTCCGGTCCGGCACATCCGCGCCCTGTCAGGTCCCCCTCCCGCCTCTTCGATGGCCAAGGCGTGCGCCAGGGCTATCCGGGAACCTTGTAAGGCCTCGTGCTGGCACCTAACCGCATTCGAGACACACGCACCTCGGCCTCCTCCTATGTAGTCTGCGGCCCCGCCTGCCAAATGAGAGTGACCAGTGCAGGGACAGATGGCCAGGCTGGTGGCCGACCGCCTGAGGGACAAAGGCGAGCATTCACAAGACAACAGCAGCCACCGGCTCCCCGTATTTCCATTTCGCTCAGGCTTTTAGGACAAAATCAACAGGGCCGCAGAGTGGTGCAGGCTCTCACCTCGGGTGACAGCCTGGAGAGCCACTGGTTCCGCGACCCTCAGCATGAAACTCCTCAAGGGCGGCCCTCCAGAGGCAGGGGAGAGGCTGCTGCCGGCGCCTGCCCGAGGGCTTCTCTGCGGGAGGAGGGCAGGCACCCCACTTGAGTCACTGCCCGCGCCCTCAGTGTCCTCTCCTTTCTCTTTAATAAAGACTGGATTTTAAAACTCGTTTTAGGGCGCTGATTTAAAACCAAACCAAACCAAACTACTGGGTGCTCGTGGGGTGGTGTGGGACATATTAAAAAAAACTTGTGTGGGATCCAGGGTGCATTTTCTGGGGCCTGGCAGCGCTGCTGCAGCCCCAGGGCATGGAGAACAGGCGGGAATGGAAAGATCCGGGAGGATGATGAAACCCCAGGGAGGGAAACGCTCACACAGAGAGGAAAAACAAAACCCACTAGACGTGATTTGTTCCTGCTCCAAATGAATCATCTAAAGAGAATCCCTTTGGGCTACATTTACTGGGGCTTAGGGTCTGGGGCCCTCAGATCCACCAATGGTGGGGGCAGTTCCCTGAAATCTGCACTCCCAATCTCCCCCGTGAAGGTGTAGGCTGTAGCTACAAAGGGAAAAGGAGAGGAAGAGGCTAGTAGGATTCCTGGGTGGCTGCAGCCCCAAAGTAAACCCCATGCTTTGAGTGCCTCTGCATAACAAAGTTTCCCAGGCCCCCCAGACTTGGAGGGGGGTGGTTAGTTATGCAGCAACTAGTCGTTTGGGAACAGCAAGACCCTGGCAGGAGGTACAGACTAAAGCTTTCAGGTTCCTGCCTCTTGTTCTTTCCTCTCCCGTGTCTGCCTTTCTCTCTCCCACCTTTCCAGAGAGTCAGGCCTCCAGGGGCAAGTGGCTTTGTTCTGAGGCCCTACCTGGATGGGCCAGAGAGACTGGGAAGTTTAAGGCCAGGTCTCACTTTTGGTTCAGATTTCAGACACCTCAGAGGTGGCTATAACTTAAAGCCTGCAAAAATAAACTTTAACCACATTCGGGTATCCCCCAAGCCTATAGCTTTGAAGGCCTAAAATATACGATCTTTTAACTTAGAGGCTGCTGGGCTGAGCAGAATTTCCTAAGCAAGAGGGGACAGGGAAAAAGGCCATTGTTTCTGTAGATATCCAGGTTCAGTTCAAAATCAGGGCTCACTGAAAAGGGCATGTGTCTGTGACTGCTCTCTTGAATGTAATTTTTGTGTCTCTCTCTCTCTCTTGCTCCCATAGAACTGTGCCCTCACAGCAATCCAATGTTTGATTCTCCCTATAGAAAGCAAATCTGATCGGGGTCTTCTTTACTCTCCTCCTCCTTCTCTTCTTTCTGCAGCCCATTCAAAAGAACCTGCAGAAACACAGAGAGACCCATGAGGAGTCTCTTGCCACTGGGACTAACTCTGCCTGGGATCCAGAGACCAGAAATGGTGAGTGGTTTTTCTTCAAAGGCTGCTTGGGTCCTGGGGCTGGGATTGCCTGCACAGCGAGAGGGCCTCCCTTGCAGCTGCACCCAACCAGGGAAAGGGGTGGAAAGAGTTTTTGAAGGACTCCAGAAGATGGTAAGCAGAGCCACCTGGAAGACCTAGATTTCTCAACTCTACATCTCCTGGAGGAGGGATTCTCTCCTGGGAGTGATTGGTGCCAATTCCAGTTTCCAGATTTGGTTTGCCTGCCTAGGAAAATTGGAGCCTCATTTAAATCTTTTCCTAGAAGTCGTATGCTCATTCTTTGGCTTTCTGTTTTCTATTAGCCAGAGACTCATGTAAGATAATCTATGTTTCTCCCTCTGACCTCTGAAACATGTAATTTGGGGGAGATACTGTATTTAAAATGCCAGTCCCAGTAATGAGCCCAGCTTAGCAGTGTGAGCTCCCACCCTCCCCTTAATGAACAGAGCTGTCGAGAAATAATTTCACTTTGATCTAGTTTGTGACCTGAGTTCTTGGCTTAAAGAAGACTGGGCAGCTAATTGGATTCTTCAGTTGCCTTTAATCTCCACCTCAACACTTGGAACCTGACCAAGCTGAATTAAAACAAGTCTGATAAACAAGATGTAGCTGGCTCCCAGGTTAACAGCAACAAGAAAATCCCCACCACCACTGTGGGGTTTAATGATCACAGCGTGGTTGGCACCTCACAAAAAACATGAAGCTGTAGGCCCGCAAAACCTGCAGCACGGAAGTCTTCAGAATCCTTTCCCCTCCCTCCTAGCCCCCTGGATGTAGCTTAATTAGAAAGAGAAGGAGGGGTAGTGGGAGATGGGGAAGAAAAACTTACAGTTGGTGAAAGGATCAGGTTGGGGGTTCATCTCAAAGGGAGGCAGGACGTTGAGGAGACTTTGTCCCTGGGAGAGGAAGCAGGCCGAGCCTTTGAGGGCTGGACAGTAAAGATTGCAATTTGAATTTCCAACTGTGTTTCAAGAATGAGGGGATGCAGGAGGGAAATAGGATATGAGGGGCAGGGTTATGCAGCCTGGCGGGCTGGGAATCATGGATTGTATTTAATCTTTTCAGATGCCAGGGTTTTGTGTTCTAGAAGCAAAGCAGAAGGAGGAAGGAGTCTGCTAGACCTCCCCATTCTTAGTATGGGGCCTGAGAAGGGATTCTCTTGGACTCCCCTCCGGATGCTCCTGTCTGCTGTCTGCCTAAGTGGCTGGAGGAGTTCTGAGGGAATGCTTTCTCCAAGGCAGCAGGGGTTTGCTCTAGGCCAGGATTTCTCAAACCTCCGCAATATTGATGTTTTGGGCTAGATGATTAATTCCTTGCCATGGGGGCTGTCCTGTGTGTTGTAAGATGTTTACCAGTATCTTTGGCCTCTACTTATAGATGCCAGTAGTGCCTACCCCAGTTAAGACACCCAGAAAAGTCTCCAGACATTGTCAAATGTCCCCTGGGGGGCAAAAATTGCCCCCACTTAAGAACCACCAGTGTAGACCTCTGTGAGGCAGGCATTTCTGGGAAAAAAGTGTAGTGCTTTCCTTGAAATGATCTTTGTATAGTTTCAGAGAGCTAGGGGAGCAGGGCAGGGTACTCCCGCTCCTTCTTTGAACCTCTCCAGCAGGGCAGATCATGAATTCCTTCCCAGGGCTGTCTTGATCTCCTTATTGAAGGTGCTACACTTTCATTAAGCCTTTGAGCAAGGACTTTGAGCTTCCAGGGCATACAATCTGAATCTTTAGATACACTGAATCCAGGACAGGTGTGTGTGTGGGTGGGGAAGGTGATGGGGGGCTAGGTGTATATATGGGTCTGTCTAAGATAAATGCTAGGGAAAAGATATCCAGGCCTCACCTTTTCCTGTAGCTTTGAAAGCTCTTTCTTTGGCATACTTGGCCTTGAAGTGGGAAACAGCTGGGTTTTTGTAAAACGGTTGTTGAGGTTATCAGGGAATGGAAAGCCTATTACACATATTGAGGTGAGAGGTAGTGTCTAGGATGCTGTTACCAGATTCTTATGCAGTAGGTAGTCTTACAGCTCCTACCCATCTCTTCCCTCTAGCTCTGACTCTCAGCAAGCTCCACTCACATAGGCTTTCTGGAAACTGTTAAGATCCTAGAAAGTAGGAGCTTGACATAATTTATTGAACACTTGGTATTACTATTATAATGCTGACGGAAAATATTTTAAAAATAAGAGGCTGGGCATGGTGGCTCACGCCTGTAATCCCAGCACTTTGGGAGGCAGAGGCAGGCAGATCTCAAGGTCAGGAGTTTGAGACCAGCCTGGCCAATATGGTAAAACCCCGTCCCTACTAAAAATACAAAAATTAACTGGGCGTGGTGGTGGGCACCTGTAGTCCCAGCTACTCAGGAGGCTGAGGCAGGGGAATCATTTGAACCTGGGAGGCAGAGGTTGCAGTGAGCCGAGATCATACCCCTGCAGTCCAGCCTAGTGGACAGAGTGAGACTCCACCTCAAAAAAAAAAAAGAATTTTATCACAATCCAGACATCTCAACCGGATCCATCCACCCTTTTCTGTCTTCTCTCTTTCTTTCTCTCTCTTTCTTTCTTTCTCTCTCTCTTTCTTTTTCTTTCTTTCTCTCCCTCCTTCCATCCCCTATCCTTCCCTACCTCCTTTCTTTCCTCCCTCCCTCTCTCCCTTCCTCCCTTTCTTTCTTCCTTTCATTTTCTTTCCAGAATATGTTCACATAGAACACAAATGAAGGATGGTAAAGATTAAGAGAAATTGATTAATTGACAAAGACAGTTCTATCAAGTTTGCATTGCAATAATAGCAATGACAATAGGGTTAAGTTATGTGACCCTTATATATATTTTTCACATCTAGAGTAGGTTATAGCCACTTTGGGCTAGGCATATTTAGCCAGATGAATTAAGCTTTAGGTATTTGACTAAAATCACTGGTTGAGTGCTTACAGAGTGTTCATCACTTTACAAATGTTAA